ACCCCCGGGGGCGGGGCGGCGACAGCCCAGCCCCGAGCCCGGACCCAACCGTACCTCACCCACGCTGGAGGGCCTTTTGTTACTGGGCATGGTCGCTCAGCGGGCATATATGCATTTCCACCCTTTTTCTCACTAAAATGAAAGCCAGGAACCTGTTCTCTTTCCTGGCAGGTGAGGGGTGGGGGAGGGGCGGGGGCGAGGAACGGAGCCTAACACACCTCTTAGCAGGGGGAAACTAGCATCTACTGAGCGCCCTGCCAGATGGTTACAAGTGTTGTTTTATTTTATTTAATCCAACAATCCCTGGGAAGAGGAATGAGGATCTTCCTGCGGAAGATGGAGCGTCTGCGAGGCTGGGTAACTTGGTCACATGGGGAGATTTGCTGATTTGAGAGCTAGCAGTCTAATCTGGGACAGGCCAGCTCCTGAGCCCTTGTTTGTTCCAGTAAAAGGTTCCTCCCCAGCTCTCCCAGGCTGTGCCCTGCCCCTGGTAGGCATGGGTGGGGGTGGAGGGGGGGTGTCCAGAGTGCAGAGCTCTGTCTTGTTCACAGTCCTATTCCCAGAGCCCAACACTCAGTAAATATTTGAATATCTGCAGGTTTCTCCTAAGCAATCCCTTTTGTCACAAGAGCCTCCCTCCCTCATTCAAAACCTTTGTCGATAATCCATTTACATTCCTCTTCTCTTCAATTTAGAGATACTGAGGCGCAGAGGAGTGACCTCGGCTAGCGAATGGCAAAGCTGCTGGAAGCTGCTGTTAAATTCCAGGTCTGCCGGTTCCTGCCCGGTGCCGCGTGATGTTTTGCACGTCTGAGCCTGGCGTTTGTAGCCCTTCAGGGTCAGTACCCAGCTTAATACCTAGACCTCATCCTCAGATAGTGAGGCTGAGGTGGCAGTAACATGGTGATTAAGAGCCCAGACTTTGTAGTAGACAAGTAGACAGCCTCGGGTTTAAACCCAGGCCCTGTCACTTTACTAGCTGTGTGACCACAGGCAAGTTTTGTAAAGTCTCTGAGCCTAGGTTTTCTCAGCCCTAGTAACAACCACCTTATAGGATTCTGGGGAAATTTTATGAGATAATGCATGTAAAGCCCTCGGCATAGAGCCTGGTTCATAAGGAACGTCAAGAAATGGCAGCTGTAGTTACATCTCTGCCATCTCCAGTACCAGACCCCTTCACTCCGTTCTACATGTTTCCCTGGTCCGTCAAGGCCCAGCTTAAGCGTCAACTCCTCCAGGAAGCATTCCTTGCCTGCCTCCCCTTTACCAGAGCATCTCTTCCACTTTCAACCCTTCTGCCTCAAAGGATGTAGTAGGAACTCCCTCTGAATGCCCCTTACCATCTAGAGCCTGGTTTTACATGCAGAAGGTAGGTAATAAATATTGACTATATGATTGATCCACTCCTCTTCCCAGTAAAGAGTGGCAAGTCCCAAAGAGTGGATTCAAGTCCCACTCTCCACTTCCTAGCTGAGTGACCTTGGACGAACTGCTGCTTTCACCTCTCAACCATCAGACAGGGATAATGCCTATTTCACAGGACTTCAGAGACACTATTAAAATGGTGGTGGTAAAAATTTAAAAAGACAGAAAGAAAAAAAAAATAAAACGATGGTGGTGATGATGATTGTTAATATTTATGAGAACCTACTGTGTGCCAGGCTCCAAGCTCTTGGGCATCTCCCCTGATCCTCATAACACCCCTCTGAGACAGGCACTCTTTTTATTCCCATTTTACAGATGTGGGAACCTGGAAGAAATTGTAGAAGAGCAGGTTTGGGGAAGAAGCAGAGCCCCAGGGCCAGGAAGGGAAATGGGGGTGGCAGGGTGGGGCTGAGACGAAAGAAGAGAGCCAGCAAGGGGGCTGAGAGCCAGCTCTCTGCGGTTGAGTTTCGGGCAGCTGGGGTTGGCTTTAGAGTTTCACTGCCTGGGAACTAATTCCTGCAAAAGGTGTGGGGCACAGGTCTGCAGTCTGCCTCCCTGAACTTGAATTCCTGCTCCACCCACCCCTAGTGTTCTATTCTTGGTCTGGCCACTGGACCTCTCTGAACCTCAACTTCCTCATCTCTGCAATGGGAATGGCAGAAATGATGTTTCCATTTACTGTGGGGACCACAGGTGTTGGATATAAAATCCTCAGAGGGGTGCATGCATAGTAGGTACTTAATATGTTTTAGCTAAAGTTTGTGTGAGATGAACCAGACAGGCCCTCACATGGAATCGAGCTAAAATACTTGCAGTTTTCCATTCATGCCTGTGGACCAAAAAAAGGAGTTCTAAGGAAAGTAACCTCCCAGGGTGATCTGATCATAAATTCCTAACTGGGCAGGTCATGGTGGGTAGTCACGCCCCAGAACTTGTAACTTCTTTAGTGAAAAGTTTGAAGCAAGCCCTGTCCATAGTTCTCGAGCATCTGGGCAAACACACCTTTAATCGCAACCAGAGGTAGCACCCCTGAAAGGGGCTATTAACCCCCAAGAGAGCACATGGTCTTGCTAACTGTCCTGTAATCCAGCTCCATGCTGCTTTCTCTCACCTCCACATAAATTCAAATGCATAGAGGAAGCTGCCAAACTGTTACTATCTTGGAGCATTTGAGACCTTACCCCCTGTCATATGCTGTCAGTTTGGCTTAAATAAACTCATACAAATTCTCCACAGGTGTGGATGTTTCCTAATGTTGACATACTCTACACTTTCTTGTATCCAGGCTTTGCTTACTGGCTTCATATCCACAAGGCCCCTCCTCCCTTCCATCCCCATGTGCTCAAATCTGATCCATCCATCCAGGTCCAACTCAAATGGTAGAGTGGCAGGAGCAAAGAGTCTGAAGTCAGACAGCCAGTGAAACTTCAAACTCCCTGAGAGCAGGATCCAGGCTCTCTTTTCCCCTTTGTGCCCTCCTCGCTGAGAGTGCCAGACGTGTAGGGCTGCAGTCAATGAGGGTGGTGGTAACAGCTCGTATTTCCCAAGCACCTTCTCAGTGTAAAGCACCACTTTACATGCACTATTACGTTGAAACCTCCCAACTGCCCTATAACACAGGTACAATTTGGACAGATGAGGAAATGAGGCTCAAAAATGTAAAAGGACTTGACTGAGGGCTGATTAAAGATGAAATCAGGATCGGAACTTAGCTGTCTCCCAAGGAACTGAGCCATTTTGAACAAAGAACTTAGCCCCAGTACCCATGCAAAGGAGGGTATGTTCTGCCAATGAATCAGGGCTTCCAGTGCTGCAGACATTGTTGGGCATGGAAAGTGTGCCTCACAACTAGGTAAGTTAGGGATGCATAGTCCCATTTTCCAGAGGAGGAAGCAAGGTATAGGGGATATTAAGTGACTTGCCTGATGTTGCACAGCCCGTAAAGGAGGAAGCCCCTGCTCCAGCCAGGCCCGAAGCCCCCACAGCAAACTTTCTCATCCCTGGTGTATCTTCTCCTGAAAAATGCCTCAAGTTCCCTCTTCCCAAAGTCCTATATATCAAAATACAAAATGCTGAATATTAGCTTCCTAAAGGCATGATCTCCTGTCCCGGGACTCCCCAGTGTATCACCTGTTCACATGAATCCAAAACCAGAGAGAAGCCCTATTGGAGCTGTGGGAAGGGAGAAATATTTTTGCTGAACCTTCTTTGTGCTTCTCTATATAGTAAGCATGTATTATTTTGGTAATTGAAAAGTGTATTTAAAATAGAAAGATAGAAGTTGCTTCAGGGAAGTTCTGTTAGTGATAATAACACTTTTACTGGAAAATTGTTGGAATGTGAAGTTCATGGGTTCTCTGGACTGACACATAGTAAATACTACATGAATGTCTGTTAAATAAAATTCTGGGCCTGACACTCAAGCTGTGTGCTTTGGAGCATATCATTGCACTACTCTGGGCCTCAATTCCTTCACCTGAGAAATGGGGCTAGTCATGGCTGCTCCATAGGGCTATTGTGATGGTTGAAGTAAACCTGGGGTGGTGTGCAAATGTACTTTGTATGTGTGTACTTAGCATATTACCAAAATGTACCGAGAAAATAAAGAATTTGAATGGACAGTTCTCCAAAGAAGATATACAGTGACCAAGTAAGCACATAAAAAGAAGTTCAACATCATTAGTCATTAGGGAAATGAAAATCAAAACCATAGTGAGATTCACACCCACTGTGATGGCTATAATCAAGAAGACTGACAATAACAAGTGTTGGCCAGGATGTGGAGAAATTGAAACATTCACATATTGCTAGTGGGAATGTAAACTGGTGCAGCCACTTTGGAAAACAGTTTGGCAGTTCCCCTAAAGTTACACACAGAGTTACCATATGATAACCCAGGAATTCTACTCCTAGATATATACCCAAGAGAGCTGACAACCAATGTTCACACAAAAATGTGCACATGAACACTAGTCAGAATAACCAAAAATTAAAAACAACCCAAATGTCCATCAACTGATGAATGGATAAACAAATGAGGCGTACCACACAATGGAATATTATTCAGCCACAAAAAAGGAATGAAATGCTGACACGCGCTACACCATGGATGAACCTTGAAAACATTACGCTAAGTGAACAAAATCAGGCACAAAAGGCCACAAAAATCATAGTGTGTGATTCCATTTAGGTGAAATATCCAGAACAGAAAAATCTATCGAGGCGGAAAGGAGATTAGTGTTACCAGGGGGTGGATCAGCTTCATCTCGCCGATAAGGAAACTGAGGTCAGACAAGCAGAGCTACACTGGGTCTGCTTATCTGTGTGACTTTGGAAAGTGGCTTTATCCCCAGCAGCTGAGTTTTCTCAACTGTAAATTGGAGATAATGGATGCATGTGAGAGGGCGGCTGCACATCCTGCCTGTGTGTTAGTTCCTGTTTCCTTCTCTCTGGCCTTCGTGGGGAAGCTGATGGGGTTTAAGGGTTGCGGCTGCCATCTAGAGGTGAACTCCAGCGCCTGCCAGGGCCTGCAAGGCTGGCTAGTCAACAAGTTAACCCCTACGGGCTTGGGGAGGGGGGAAAGGCAGGCCAGGGCTGCCAGATTGGCCAGATTCTCTCCAGATGCCTCCAGGCCCTGGAGAGGTTTTGCACATATGTTGTTCCTG